TTATAAATCAAATCAATCAAATCAAGTTTTATTTATATAGCACATTTTTAAAACGATTTTTGGTCGAGCCAAAGTGCTGTACATACAATAAAAATACTTTACAATAAAAACACTTTACAACAAATACAACAGCACAAATAAAAAATCACACACAGGGAAATGTCAGGAGTCGTGCTCCGCTCTGACTAGAAGGCCAGAGAGAAGAAGTGAGTCTTTAGTGAGGATTTAAAAAACCCTATTGTCTGGGCCGACCTCACATGGAGGGGCAGAGTGTTCCAGAGCCTGGGGCCAGCTGCTGCGAATGCTCTGTGCCCTCAGGTTTTGAGCCTGGTCTTGGGCACTATCAGCAACAGCTGGTCAGCCGACCTTAAAGCTCTGGCTGGAGTGTAGCGATGGAGGAGTTCGACTATATAGGCCGGAGCCAGCCCGTTTAGTTCTTTAAAAACAAATAAAAGGAGTTTAAAATCAATTCGGAACCGAATTGGAAGCCAGTGTAGTGAGGCCAGAATTGGGGTGATGTGGTCACGCTTTTTATGGTCAGTGAGAAGACGTGCAGCTGCGTTCTGCACATACACATACACCTTTGAGGTATTTGTACTTTACTTAAGTATTTCCATTTTGCAACTCTGTGTGCTCTGTGCTGTTACTTTTACCGGCTGGGCTTCTATGTACTGTATATTGGGTTGGAGTTAGAGATGAAAGGCCACTTTTCAGAAGAAGTGAGAAGATATTGTTGAAGACACACTTGTTTACAGTCATCCACATCTGTTTCTTTCTAACTTTACCCAACTTCTGTTTTTACCACAATAACCACAGCCTCATTATTTCCATAAGATATGAGACGGAGTTTGCAAGAGCTTATGGGTATCGAACCATTGACCTTCAGGTTGGTAGACATCTATGTACCCATCGAGCTAAAGCCACCCGGACAAATCTAATTAAAAACTCAACAGTCAAGGATCACAAACGATATCACAATATTTCAACTGGGAACTAAAGAAGCGGGAATACTGAGTTGGGTTTTGCAACACTTCGTCAGTGTTTCATCAGCTGTAAGACATGTATGTGTTGAAACTTGTCAGAGGAAATTACTACACATTATTCCACCTGTGTTCATTTGTATTATTCTGCCAAATCTTTTACAAACGCCGAAATCCATCCAAACGGTTAGCTCAATTATGAAATGGCGGCTATGAGTCTTATAATTTCTGACCTACAAACAATAGCTCTGCTGTGGCTGTGAGTTAGTGTGGTCGTCTCGCAGTAGGAAGGTTGTGTGTTCCGGCCCTGCAGTCTATATACATAGTTTTATCAACTGAACAATACAATGTTTTAAGCTAATAAACGTTTACATCTGGCTCTCGAGGGCTCTGAAGTGAAGTGTCCTTCTTGCGCCAAATACATCCAGACAAACTCCATTACAGTTTCAATGCTTAATAATCTGCCATAATAGTATTTTGTTTCTAGACTTAAAAAAACTAATACATTAACTGATGTGGGAACCAAAGTGTGAGAGACTGGAGATGGATTAAACCACAATGGGGTTGGAAGCTAAGCAGGATCGGGCCGGTTCATTACTTGGATGGGGGAAGCTTTAAACTTTTAAAATATGTATTTAGCATGTGTTGATCTGCTCA